CATATCCAGCAATAATCATAGTCATTCTCATCATTTTCTTTTGATGAGGGCAATATCTTTTGATATGGCCAAACTCATGATAACCAAAACACTGGACTCCACCCTTTCTCTTGGCTTTTGAACCACCTGCCTTAGATTCACCGTCAAGTTGTTTTTCTCTTTTATTCTTACCTCGAGCAATTAACGCAGCTTCTTGTGTCATATCCTGGTTTGCTTTTCTTTGTTTTCATGATCCAACAAAGAAGACTGCACATTCTCGAACTCTAAAGTGTCCTTCCCATACAACAGGGTTGTCATGATACTTTCGTAAGAATCAGAGACTGAGGTAAGAGGTAAAAGGGTCTTATCTTCTTCCTCAATATCCACACCAATTTTTTGGAGTTGATCCAAAATTTTGTTGAACGTATTCATGTGATCCATGAGACTACCACCCTCCACCATCTTTAGTGCATAAAGTTGCTGCTTTAGATGCAATTTATTGGATAAGCTTTTAGCCAGATAAAGCTTTTCCAATTTTTTTTCAGAGGTCTGCTGCAGAATCTTTCTCATCTATCACATTATTTATGATGTTGTCCGCCACATAGAGTTGAATTGTGCTCGCACACCTTGCATACAACTCCTCAAACTCATCATCTTTCATGCTCTCTAGCTTCTTGTTCTTTCCATTCAACGCTTTTGTCAAACCTTTATTGAACTAGAACGTCCTTCACTCTTCTTTGCCAAAGAAACTTGTAGTTCCATTAAATGGTTAAATTGGAAACTGTATAGTTCCAAACCCCATGATATACCACCACCCACTCAATTTCAAATAATTAACCAAAACCCTAACGGAACTCTAATACCACTTGTTAGGGTATCAGGCCAATTATTTGAAAAAGAAAAGACCAACAATTTAATGGAAAATAATATCTAACACGAATGATGAGCAACACACAAGAATTAATGTGGTTCGGCTTAATCACCAAACCTACGTCCACGGAGAAAAATTTTGTTCTTATTATGAGAAAAAACACCACAAGATTACAACTTGATTCTCAAACCCCAACTCTTGTATAACTCTCTCACCCACTAAGAACTCTCTCACTCCTTTCTTATATATCTTTGTAGTATACCAATAAGGGTAAAAAATAAAAAAGCCCTTTGTGGTAAGCCTAATACACAGAAAAGCCCCTTATGGTTTCAAAATATACAACACGGCACCTCATGCTTTGAACTAAACTGTAAAGGTGACGAAATCCGTTAAATTTAACGGAAATGACTTATTGGAACCTTAAAAAAAATTTTTATACCTAATTTTTATCAAATATACCTATTCTACCCCTTAACTCTCAATTCTCTCTATTTAGAGAATAAAAACAAATATTTTTTTGAATTGTCTTTTGCTTTATTATATCAGGGCATTTTGGTCATTTTGTTCATTTCCGTTAAGTTTAACGGATTCCGTCACCTTTACAATTTAGTTCAAAGCATGAGGGGTCGTGTTGTATATTTTGAAACCATGGGGGCTATTCTGTGTATTAGGTTTATCACAGGGGACTTTTTTTTTTTACCCTATGCCAATCTACCTATTTATAGAGAACATTGCTTGGCCAAAAAATCAAATAACAATTGGAACCCAATACTAATTCTTAGACTTATGCAGAATAGGAAATAACATCTAAGTTCTAAACTAAATAGGAGTTTCCTTGACTACTACTTACTTTAAGTAACTAAATCCAATTAAAAAACTAGTTACTTCCCACATCAAATAGGGATCTTGACTAAAAGAAATTAAGCCAATTTCCTAACAATCATAAATGAGCTAACTTCATCGGCCAGATCTCGATTTCTTGTTCTCTGTAGAGACGACTCAAGTTCCTGGACACTTTCTCATGTGTCCCAGAAATGTCTTACAGCCTGAGAGATCCATCCAACACCTCTTCATTGTTGAGAGCTTGTTGACTCAAAGGCAGCCGAAGCACATCATCCAGACGGTTGTACAAGTTCTTGAGGGCATCCAATCATTGGCATACCAATGAATGCGAAGGTGAGGATGCAGCTTCTGATGACTTAAACCTTTGCAGGTGTTCCTCAGCATTCACAAGAAGAGGATGAGAAGAAGAAGGCAAACTAATCGAACGAGCGTGGCTAGAGAACTTGGGAACTGCCATTTTTTTTCACTTGAGCCAAATTTAACAATTGAATGTTAAATGTTAAGTCTTAAAGCCTTTGGAGATGTTGAAAACAAAATTCCCACGATGAATTAGATTTATGGAAAATTTTACTCTGAACTACGTACGGTTAATAAGATAGATACAAACTAAAAGATGGCTCGTTTTCTAATTTCTAGGAATTTTCATATTTGTATCTATCGTTTTGATATATATTGTTTTTAAAATCCTTTTTTGTACATGAACTTAAGATTTATTATTACTATTTCGCTCCTATTTTGATATTTTTCTAAGTTAAGTTGATGCTTTTCTAAAGATTCTTTTGTTATTAACTCAAGTTGAAGTTGAGGGCCACTAATAGTTCCACAAAAAGCAAATAAGCAGAAAGGGTCAAAAAGAAACGGGAATAAAACATACTTGTGAAAGGAAAACAGTATCTGAAATATCTAACAAAGAATTTGTGTAACTAGCACTCATATTTGGATACAGGTATATAAGACTTACAGAATATATTATAAGGACTTCATTTATAAAAGAAAAGAGAACAAGTTACATTTAGGAAAAAACTGGAACGAAACATCAACTTTACAAAGTAAGAATATGTCAAGCACTTTAATCTTCCAAAATCAGAAAAACCTATTTTCATAGATATAGTCTTACTTAATATGCCATAAAAGTAGGAATTAGAGGCAAGACCAAGGATTTGGTCTAATGGTTGGTACTCAGGATTGGATATTTCATATTTGTAATATCAATGATTTATAAAACATCAAGTTGGCAAATAAAAAGAATCAATAGTGCACATTTTATTTTTGTTCCTATTCCCGACTTTGAATGTGAACATTCTATGTTAATGTATAAATGAATGTTAACATGTTTATTACTATTTGAACATTTACTTATTTTTGTGTAGAATTCGATTGGGAAGGAATGAATTTCCATAGAATTTAGTAGAATTAATAAAAGAAAATAAGAGATTATTTTCACATGGAACACTTTGATTCCATTTGTAAAAGCATATTGTGGGACTTGTGCATAAGAAAAAGATTAATATTTCACACACATATATACAGATAAAATTGAGCAGTCGATGAGGAAATAGAGAGATACAATTTTGCAATATCAGCCATAGGAGAAAAAGAATGCAATATGGCTCGTTGATTTGTACCTTAATTTCTTTGAAATGTATCATCTTATAACTTGAAGTAGATGACAAATGAGTTTGTTGTGACTTTTAATCAATACTATAGGCTTCGGTGTTATTGGATATGCCTGAGAATTACTACTGCCTCAAACATTTAGTGTTAGATGAGTATGACAAAGTTCGATTCTAAATTAGTCAAGACTCAATGCGGTCACCAAGCACCAGCTGATTTATACCCAAAAAAGTACTACTTAGTTTTTTAATTGAACTACCAGATACTTTAATTAAAGAATAAAACACTCAATAAAGATATGAATATGCTTGACTTTAAGATGGGATGTATGGAAATGGGGAGCTTTTCCTCTTCTTACAAATTATGAGACTTCCACCGTTACAAACAAATTAGAAGTGTCAAAATGGGTGACTTGGGCGGGTTTGGATTGGGTAAAATAGGTAATGGGTATAAGTGAGTCAACCCATTTATACCCATTTAATTAGATGAGTATAAATAGATAAGTCAAAAAATGAATTGGGTAACCCAATTACCCAATTATAACCCATTTATTTTAATTTTTTGTAAACTCATCTAAATTTATTTTTGCAAACTAAGTTATCAATTTATACCGCTCTTTGTACCCATTATTAATTTTAAATATTTACTTATAATGTTTAATAAGGTTAATTACCAATTTTTTTTCATTTATACTCTATGTCGCAAAATTACATATTATTTAATAATTGAATAATAAGAATAAAAATTTTGAATTAAATACTATAAAAGTTAATATAAAAACTTAATCCAAAAATTTTGAACCCCTAACATATTTTTCATATATAAATTTAAATTTTCATTTTAGAAAGATAAGAAAAGAGGCTAAAACTTATCATAAATTAGTAATGCTAAAAAAATGAGCAAGTTAACAAACTAAGAGAAAATAAAAAAATAAAATAAAATCAACAAATAATAATAATAATGAAACAAAAGTAGTTAAGATCATGACAAAATGAAAATTTTGAAAAATAAATGGGCGGGGGAAGAGAATTCTAAATGGGTTAATTGGGTTTGATGGATTACCCAATAATACTCATTTATTAAATGGGTATTATTGGGTAATCCATTTATATCCATCTACAAAAATTTAAGATATCATACCTATCTATTCATGGACGGATATGGGTAATTTTAATTCAGTGGGTTGATTTGCCACCTATACATACAATCAATCAGGATTGTAAAACTACCATGGAAGTATATCATATTTTATTGAACAAAAAGGCGGATAGTCATAAAACACTTCCAGCAACTTTTTTATTTTTTATTTTTTGCATTTACTATTCTCAAGAGGATGATTGTTTGAGTATCACAAAAAGTAATACCTATTTTATTTACGTACAAATACAATGCATATACACTAGTTTATTTAAATCCTATGATATTTTTGAGTGTTGACATCAGGCCGGTCAAAATGAGTAGCAATTTTCACCTGAATGATCTGCCAGCTAGTTGGGATGATAAAATCAGATTGGAAATTGTACCTCTTTTCTCCCTAATTGTTAGCAAGTAAAAGAAATTTCCGAATGAGCAATTTATAAGTTCATGACTTGCAAGAACATTTATTTACCATCCTATTTGTACCATGCCCAATGGGTGAATTTACAGTCCCTTTTAAGTGTGACAAATTCAGTAGCAAAAATTCAAAATATGGACTTCATTCTCTGAAAGTCAGCCAGCAATTTACATAATCTCTGTTGAACATCTGAGGTTTACATTTCTATCCTCCCAGTCATTTTTACAAACTGTCAGCAATATCAAAATTATAAAACCTAATCATGTGCCCCACCTGCCTATAATTGTCAACAAAATGAGACAAAAGTCCATCCAAAAATAAGCTGTTATCTACAAGCCTCCAACTGTGCTGGCTGTTTACCTGAAAATAAAAAGGGGGAAACAAAACAGTATTAAATCACCAATATGGCAGATCTTGGAAAGGGCAAAAAGAACTGACTAACCTTCTGTAAAGAGAGACTACGTCTTGGTTTAACTGTGATGACTCTAGAAACAAATCACCACAATCATTAACATCGACATTTTCCATCTGAAAATCTTCTTGACCCTGACATCCATTCCATTCCAACCACATCTTTGCAATAGACTCCTTTCTGAAGCAAGTTAAATGGTCATCCTCTTCTGGAGAACCAGAGGCAACCAATCTGTAGGTGTACACTTTCCTCTGTTGCCCAGGTCGAAATGCACGTCCAATTGCCTGGGGTGACTGAGGGGTTTAGATGTATATCCAGTATAATAATGCGTGATGCTCCTACAAGTGATATTCCTTCACCACAAGCTCTAATTGATCCGAAAAAGACTCTAGCGTCTGAAGAATTATTGAATTGCTCCATGCAAGAATCTCGAATTTCAGAATCTGAGTCACCAGTGATCACAAACATTTCTTTTCCAAGACTATAGTTTTTAACTTTCACAGTCAGTCTCTCCAAGAACTTTAGAGGGAGAAGATATTGACTGAAAACTAGCAACTTCTCGCCAGTGGATTCACATAGCTGGAGAAGATTTAGGTAGAATTTGGCCTTTATTCCTTCAGTCTCTTTCAGTTTCTCCAACATTAGATCAATCTTCTCCACATCAACCCTATCTTTAACTCCAGAATACATCAAAAGTTTCTTCAACTGCGGGTGCACATAGATAGCACTTCCTTCAGAGTTTATTTTGAACCTACTTTTCAGTTCCTTCAGCTCTGCAACTTCTTTCTTTTGTGCACGGCTGAGTTCAAGAAAGACAGTGAAGTCAACTAGTCCAGGTAGTTCATCCAAGAAATCTCCCTTGTAGTAGTGAAGAACTTTGCTTGTCATCTCCCGCAGATCTTGAACGATATTCACTTTCCTATTGAATTTCTCATCTTCAAGGAGCGTGCACTCCACCAGGTTATAGAAGTCATCATCAGAAAACTTTGCAATAGAACTCCTCCCGCTTGATATTTGTACCTTACTCAAGATGCGCCTTTTAATGACTTTAGGAGTCCCCATTTTCAGAAACTTTGGACAAACAAGATTCAAAACATTGAAGACTTCCCTGACATGGTTTTGATAAAGGGTGCCAGAAAGTACAACCTTGCGAGGTGTCTGTACCTGTTCAAGAGACTTCAAAATATCAGTGTTTTGGTTTCTGGGAGTGTGACCTTCATCCAAGATAAGAATAGAAGGGCAAGTTAACAATATATCCCGACATCCAAGAGTTGTTTCATTCATATCCATGTCACATACAATCAAAGCAAACTGCGCATATCCCAGAAACAAAATGCTTCTTTCGTTTGCCCATCTCTTCAAAATTACTAGCTGCTGACTCCTACTTTCTGATTTGGATGAGTAGAGATCATATAGCGGTATATCTTCCACTTGCCATCTCTGGAATTCTTTCTTCCATGTTGATATGATTCCCTTTGGCAGTACAATCAATGGTCTTGCAGAAGGATATTTAGCCATGAAACTCTGAAGGAAACTAATGATCATAAAAGTTTTCCCCGATCCTGGGGCATGTGCCATTATACAACCACCAGGATGATCTGTCACCAAGTTGCTTGTCAGAAAATTGAACCCCTCAACTTGATGCGGTTTCATTACCTTCCGATGCCGTGGATGGACAGCAACTTCTGTCAAAGAGTCTTCATGTTCAACCCATCTAATACTTTCAGGAAGGATTTTAGTTTGCTCAAGGCCATTTCGGAGGGAACGTTCATATCTATAAGTTCTTTCACTCTTTTTGGCCTAACAATAGAAAAGAGTAAGAGAAATTGAATATCCAGAACCATTGACATAGATATCCATTTACTTCACCAAAGGAAAAATCTAAATTAGCAAATGAATACAGAGCAACACAAAAAATCAATTTACATAGGGAGCATTGTACTTAAAAGTTTACTCATGTGCAAACTGTGAGCAAAATTTGCATTACATGCAATTGGAGATTTGGATATAGAGATAAAAGCAAAATTTGAAAAGAGGGAAACAAAAGAAATAAAAGACCATAAGCTCCATATCTCATCCTACATGGTCAAAGGTAATTTACTCGATGTGTGCAGGTCCTCTTGGAAGCTTCTTCAAGTCAAGAACTGCAGCATGTCAAGCTTATTTGCAAGAAACATGTAGAAGTTGGTTTGTACCAATAAATATGTAAACAGATGGAGACAGAACTAAGTGTGTGATCATTATTGTGGATAACAAGGTCAACCTTATATGTGCATATTTGTGTAAGATTCATTTTTAGGCACTTAAAGGTATATGCACATAAGGTAAGAACGAGTGAAGTACTAGTATAGCATATGTGGAAGTACCTTTAAACATGCATTCCCATTATGCAATTGTGTACATGATGGAAGCTTCATGTTTTCACTGAATGAAGCTACTTCTCAGACAATAATCAAATCACAAGAACAGGTATGTAGTTACTCCCAACTAAGCAAATAAAGGACAAGAACACCAACGAAGCACAAGACAGAGCCAAGAAAAACCAAACCTTTGCATATTGATACTCAATTATGGTTTCAATCCCTCTCTCAATCAATCCACAAACTCGGCAGACAGAACCTATATCATCTTTCAAGATGAATGAATGATCACAATCTTCTGCACCCACAATGGTGTGCTTATCAGATGAAGAATCTACAGCAGTATCCTATTGACATCAAACAATAAGTTGATGGTGAGGAAACTTTGATGGGAATACAAGCACAAAACAGACAAAGCCAGGAATAACTTTGTAATAAAGGGCTACAGTATATTGATTTGCCTTAAAACATAGGAAGGCTGTACAGGTATCCCTTAATTGTGTAGCAAAACTCCAGTTCTTGGTCAAGACACCAATTAGCTCTCCAAGTGCAGAAAGACATCTCAAACTCATTTCATCATTGTGAAAAATCAAAGGTTTTTCGAAACTTTAGTGCTCTCCATGTCATTCTTTCAAGGTACTATGTTAGACAGATATGTGACTAGTGAAGATACTTTTCTTATCAAAACATGCAAATATATTTTAATAGACCTTATGTAACATTACATGCGGCTGATCTTCTTCCTTTTTCTCTCAAAAGTTGTCTGTGATTGAATGACCACAGGCAATGCTGAGTCATGTAAGATGCATCAAAATGCAATGTTTGAGACTACAATCAAACATGGCAAGAAGTTTGAGATGCATAAATCTTATCAGCAGTTTCAGTTGCTATAGTTAATTCAAAGTCAAATTAAAGCACCTTGGAACATTCTAATGCAAATGATAGCTCGTTCCATATACTCCCCAGACACCATACTCAGAATCATGTTGGGGACTGCCTTCCTCATGTTCTGCATCACCCTCCACACCAACATACACACCTTTGTCTTTCTCAACTTCAGAAATTTTAGGTGAAACAGGAGCATTTGCCTTTGTCTGCCTCTTGTCCTCCACATTTCAGCCTTAGCCTCTGCTCTGGGATTTAAACCATTATGCTTCTTAAGCTCAGGTTTCACCAAGGTAGGAATTTCCTTTTCCCAACTTCCCTTCTTCAGCACACTTTAGATTCTGCAATGTGAAAATTAGACCATTTAATGTTTGAGGGCAATAAAGGGGACAGGAGGAAACGAGTTTAATTACAACAAATTCAGACTCACAAATTAGATGGAAACCCAATGTAACATGTAGAGAGAAATCTGAAATTATTCACAAACTCAACTATTGCTTGATCATCAATATTGAAGGATTATTGAAAATCAATTACAACTTTAGCTTTCTTGAGATCAGCTTTGCCAGCATGGCAATTCTTTTCCTGTTCTGAACCTTGGGTCTTGAGCACAATCTAGATCATAAATACAAATATGGCATCCTTTTGGTCTGAGGCAAGAAGTAGTGTGATTACAACAAAATCAGACAAATAAATTAGCTGGAAACTCAACACAAGAAACAAGGTACTTAATCATTAAAAGACACACAAAGAAAACCATGACACTATTCAGAAATTCAACTATGTCTTGCATCAATAAAGAAGGACTGAAGAAACCCGTTACACGTTAGTCTTTCTAGGTCATTTTCAACAGCATGGTGAACATTTTCTCTTCTTAATATTTTGGTCTTCAGTGCAATCTAGATCCTAGAAATGAAAATGACACCTTTTACTGTTTGGGAACAAAAATGGGACTATCACTTAACATCCACATGAAAGGACTGAAGACACAACCAATTACACCTTTATCTTTCTGGGATTCAGTTTCACCAGTGTGGCAAAACTTTCTCCCATCAATCTTGGAATTCTGTGCAATTTAGACCTAAAAATAGAAATGACACCATTGAGAGTTTGAGAGCAGAAAGGGCACTAGCAGACCAATGATATTATTACAAAAAATCAGGCACATAAATTAGCCGGAACATGCAAGAATAGAATAAATTCAGAGAACACTGAGGTATTTATAAACTTAAACTTTCATGGGATCATCCATATGGAAGGCTTCATATCAACCACTTACACTTGCAAGATTGCTACCATGGCAAGATTTTTCACTTTCAAACTTATGGTCATCAGCAGCATCTAGATCCTACAACAAGAAAATAAAACTGTCATTTTCTAGGACAAAATTGCAGACAAATGTGTCCTATTACAAGAAAAACAGACAAATAAATCAGCAGGGTAAAAAAAAAAAGAATAAAGGTACTTTATCATTGAAAGAACATGTAGAGGCAATTTAAGTTGTGCACAAACTTAACTATCAGTTGATCACGAAGCGGGGAGTGATTGATGAAACCAATTACTCCTTTATCTTCTTAGGTTCATTTTCGAGAGTAAGACAAACTCTTGTTGTTTTTTGTCCAATGTGCAGTCTAGACCCTAGAAATGCAATGACACTACTTTAAGTGTTTGACAACAAAAGGGGGGACACCAGTGGCCAAGTGAATGTACTCACAATGAGAAATCAGCTGGAAATGCAATGCAAGAAGACAAGGCACTAAATCCTGAAAGGACATGAAGAGGAACAGTGAAGGTATTCAAACTTATAACTATCACTTGATCATCCCTGAGGAAAGCTTGATAAGAACCACTTACTTGTTCAACTTCTTGAATTCAATATTGCTACCATGGAAAGAATTTTCTCTTCTCAATTTCTGGTCCTCAGCACTACTTTGATCCTATAATGTGGAAATGACACCATTTAGTGTTCCAGGGGAGGAAAAGAGGACATCAGGGGACAAATGTGTTCAATTACAAGAAAATCAGACACAAGTTACCTGGAAGCAGAACATCAAGGAACAAGGTACTTAATCATGACAGACAATGTAGATACAGCAGTATGTTGTTCATATTACTATTAATTGATCATACATATTGAATTGAGGTCTTGGAAACAATCAATGTTTTCTCAACCTGCATTCTTTATAAAGTGCTAAACAACTACAATAAAAGAGTATCACAAGTTTCAGGCCTCAATGTTTGTTTTTTGAATTATCCTATCTACCCTGTATATTCAAGTATCTTTGGCTTGCAAGCTTATGCAAAGTAAGAACTCTTAACTAGTGATAAATTGTCATGATTCAAGCCTAAATTGAGTTTATAGACCTAATCACCCGGGGAAAGTGAACTTGCAGTTCAGATAATTCAAATCTCTCATGCAAATTTCTACAGGCTTTCTAAGCCATTGAAGAGTATTATTGCGGAATAATTACTCCACTAAGCAAGAAATGCACAGAGACATGAATGTTATGGATAGACTAAATGCAGCTAAAATTGAATTGTTTCAACTATCAAAGAACCAAAGACTAATTGCTTCAAAATTGAATTGTTTCAACTTTCAAAAGTACCAAAATACAAGTCATATAAATTATTCATTTTCTTTTCATGTCTTCAATCATCGTTTCAGTACAAGAATATCAAATTAAGGTGAACAAAGAAAAAAATTCATTTTCACAAGTACAAGCTGTACAATATTTTACCATCACCCTCCAGTCTTCATGCTGGCCATTTATTGTTGATCAGAGTTATACAGTTTGAATTAAAGAAAATTGTAATGCTGTAAGAAAGAAAAGATAGTGTAGTAGATATTAGCTAAGCTATTCTGCTTGAAAATGGTCCCTGGTGCCTATGGTACGAAACTGCAAAAGTGTACATACAAAAATCAATGCCACTCAACTTCGGAGCCATATCTTTCTGGTACATAACCCAGATAAGTAATTGAAACCCGCTTTGGTGAAATTCTGGAAAAAAGTTTCAATGTACCTCAACATTATTTTGCAGAAGATTATCAGCAGTCTTTGCCAAATCAGCAACCTCATTAGGCAAGAATTCTCGTCATTCTCAAAGGCTTCATCATCTAAGTCAATAACAGCAAGAGCTTAGCTTCTCTGACAATCTCTTCAAATGGTTCAGACTCAACAATTGTACCATTATCGGGAGATTCCAAATCAATGATATCAGGCACAGAAGGGGCTTTAAGTCCCAACCTTCTTTGCATGAATACATTTCCGTACCCAAACGCTTACGCACATTGCAGAATTTGTTGAACCTAGAACCCCAAATACTTGATTCTCTTGAGCCAAGAGCTCCTCAATTTCCTTTGTTACACTTCCATATTTGTTTGACTGAAAATCTTCTTCACTGCCTTTTTTACACCAAGATTCCAACATTGAACAACAGGCTTTGTTGCAGAGCTGCGTGAATGACAAAAAGTGGTCATTCTCAGGGTTCCTCGCCCTGAGTCAATGACAACAAGGCACTTAGCTGATGTGTCTATCTCTTCAGCTGGTTCACACTTGATAACTGTACCATTAGCTGAGGTTCATCGTCATCCTCCAAATCAATAATATTTGGCATAGAAGGAGGGTTGACTCCAAATCTTCTTTGGTTAAATACTTTTTCAAACGCTTACATGACATTGTAGAATTTGTTGAAGACAGGCACCCAATAAATTGACTCTGAGCTAATAGCTCCTCAATTTCCCTTGTTACGCTTCCATATCTGTCTGATCCAAAATCTATTTTTTAGGAATCTTTTGTGTGCTCAGATTTTACATGGAACCAGAGGCTTTGCTGCAAATCCATGTGAAATTAACTGATTCCTTCTAGCAATTAGATACTCAATATCCTTCTTCACATTCATATCTGTTGATATCCAAATCTTCTAGCAATTGTCGGCAGAAAATGGATCTTCATGACCTATACTGTGGACAGACCTTCTGGTCCTTCCATTTGAAGTCATGACACCAACAAGCAGAAAAATTTCTGGAACTGCACTCTCCTACTTCACCAACTTTAGCCCTTCTGCTCCTTGGAAGTCAAACCTGTTTCAAATGTAACAAAAAATTCAAAAAATCATGCTTCAAGCAAAGAATAAATGCAAAATTCAACATGGTGAAACTTCTCCAAACATGTCACAACAAATACGTTTAGCTTTAAATTCTTTGCAAATTGAGCTAACATGGTGAAACGTTTCATCAGTAGAGCATCTTTTAATTGTTTAGTTCATTGTGATATCCAAAGAGAAAGCTATCATAGTACAAGTCAGCGGAAACAACAGATGCAAGAATTTAGAGTACAGACGTTGTGGGTAATTGTGCTCTCAAACTTAACAAGGTTAAATAAGATGTTTGAAGTTGCTCCAGAAAATCTTAACAGGTTGGCTGCAGTTTGACATACATATAAATATCAGAACCTTTTAAGTATAAAATATATTATTGACATAAAGTTAAATGACAGGAACACACGTTTATGGATGATATAGGCAAGGAACACACACAACAGGCCTTAGAAGTTAGAATGCTTAAGTAAAAAATTACAGGGTTAAGTGAAAAATCAGAACATACAAAAAAAAAAGTATGCAAACCACTCAGCTCAATAAAACTGTAATTTAACTCCTTTAAAATTCACTGCAGCATAGTCCAAGTCGATGATGACCTTATGCATGGGATGCTGCAAGCAGCTAAGTGATCAACATATCTCCAATGGCTGATCCTTCCATTAATGTTTTACTACATCTCTGCAACCAAACCCTATTGAGGTCATTTTATCAAATTCAAATGTGCATGTGTGCTAGATTTCTAATTGTTGCATCTGGTTGAGCGATACAAGCATTCTTTAGTACTATGAACAAATACTGCGTATGCAATTAAACTTCATTTCACCCTGCCTAACCATCACCAGACTTTTGCAGTCTGCACGCCCTTCCTTTCTTACTTTTGAGTACAAAAGAATATTTGTTTCATATCACACTTCACAGAGCATTATACAAAAGGAAACCCTAACTGAAAAACATCCAAGGTTCCGCGTTGAATTCTCCTCTCTCACTGGAACAAAAGGACTGACATCATCTGTTCCAAAATGTTCAGAAGTCTTGTTACCTATTACTTTGTATGTTGAGAATCCTTCTAAGGTTACCTCAAAAGGCTTAACACTTGAATTGGGATTTCAGGAATTAATGGTTGGCAAATGACAATGGGGAACCAGTTTTTCTTTTCTCCTTCTAGTTTTACCTTCTCTTTAACCACCTTTTTATCTCATTTCGTCAATAACCATTAAAATTACTTCACACTAGATATTCAACAGGGCAATCTTATTGTTTCCATAAATACGGAATACTTTGAAGAGAGGCTATATTTTTGTGTGATAGATTGGCTATGCTTTCCAAAAGGCTTCATGAAAAATTGCCTCCACTGTCTATGATCACAATCCAATGCTCAGCATCACATTCAAATAATTAAATTCACAAAAGCCAGAACAGTTTCTTTGCAGAAGTAAAAGTCCGTACCCATAACTGCGCAACTATAATTACAAAATAGAGAACCAACATATCAGAATCAGAAATCCAACTGACAAACAACGGATCCTGACATTATACTGCAGTCCAATTGCTAGAATCCCGGAATAGAAATGCATAGGAATGACTAATGAGGCTGCATTCTCTGCCTTGTGTTTGCATTTTGTTAACAGAATTTGGATTCAACTCTAATTCACATTGATAACTAACCAATTTTGAGAGCCCACGCACACAGCATTTGCGTAAAATACAATCTACACAACAGTTTACAAACCTTCCCCCCCTCTTTCTCAAAAAAAAAAAAATAAAGAAGAAGAATAAGAATCTTGATCTCCTCATCTAAACAAACCTTTTTAATAGAATTGATTTACATGTTGAAGCATCACAGACTATTTTTAAAAAATTATTATACAAATTCCATACACAACAACAACAAACAATGTTAGAGCAAGGGTCAGCCAGAGTTAAGACACACTTTTATAGGCAATATGCAAGGGTTCGACTCTCGTTGCTACCATTGCACCACCCCATTATGGGATGATAGCATGCAATATATTAAACCAGCAAGGAACACAAAAGAAAAGGATAAAATGCACCAAAATTAACATGAGCTACATCAGGATATATGGCCTAAGCACAGAGAGAGAGAGAGAGATTACCAGTAGTGATGGAGCTGAAGGATAGACGCCTTTGGCAATTGGGGTCGTGCTACTGCTTTGTGACCCTTCAGACTTTGAGGCCATTTTGATCAATCAAGACACTGATTTTGGAAGCCAAAAGAGGAAGATTAAGCAGATGGATCAAATTGTCAACAAAAATCAACATTCAACATGCAAGTCGAAACTGACAAAATACAAGACCGAAAACGCACAAACACTATCGACTTCTTCTTGATTATCCTGATCATACTGACACACCCAAGAGATTAAGCTCAGGTACACCCTTTAACCTATTAAAAAATGGGTTCTTTTGCTTTCTTATCTGAGCGTAAAAATCGCATGCATTCTGATTTTTGCAGACAAAACAGCTACTTAAAGGGGAAAATGGATTCTTGATGATCACAGTAAAACCCCAAAACTAAACGCCATTGAAGAAAAAGATACAAAACTTTGAATGAAGAGACAAAAGGGATGTCAAAATCAAGCAAAGGAATCACTTTGGAAATTTTGAAGCAAGGTATGAAGAAGAACCATGACAGGAGTGTAAAGAATTTGAAAGGAAAGTGAGAAAGACCTTCTGGAGAAAAATGACCAGCACAGAAGCGTGACTTTCTGACTCATAGACTAGACTTTCTTAATTTTACTTTTCTCTTGCTCCGTTTGATTAGCTGTTTTTGGGTTTGTTTTTCAAAACACCACTGTAGCATTTTGAATCTGAAAAACAAGTCCGTTTGGATTAGTTGTTTTTGGGTTGTTTTTCAAAAACTATATGAAAAACTTTTACTGTAGATTTTTGGATTATTTTAGAGGTATTTTTGAAACATATTTTGAGTATTTTTAGAATATTATAATTTTTTATATTTTTATATAAATATACATTATCATTTATAATACATTTATAGATATTTATAATAAATATATTTATATATTCATATAAAAATATAAATGTATTATTATATATAATACATAATATAAATATATTTATAAATGTATAAGTGTATATTATTATAAATGTATAAATTATAAATGAATATTATAATATATTATAAATTATAAGTGTATATTATTAAATGTATAAATTAGTATATTATAAATATATATTAATATTATGTAGAAATGTATTTATATAATTAATATAAATGTATATATGTATTGATATTATGTATAAATGTAAAATAATATATGTATATTAATATAAATGTATAATGTATTATATTATATATAATACATAATATAATGTATATTTAAATGTATAAGTGTATATTATTAAAAATGTATAAATTATAAATGAATATTATATAAAGGTAAAATTATTAAATTATAAATATATATTAATATTATGTAGAAATGTAAATATAATTAATATAAATACATGTATTAATATTATATATAAATGTAAATTAATATTATGTATATAATATAAATATATAAATGTATTATATATATATACATAATATAAATGTATATTATAAATATACATAAATATTTATATATTATTATAAATGTACATTTAATAAAAGTATAATATATATATATTATATATATAATTTATATAACATATAATATTTATGTAAATATATTATAAATATATAAAAATATATTATAAATAAAATAAAATATTATAATAGTATGTATAAATATATAATTTAGAAATGTATAATATATATAATATACATTTTATAATATAATTTATGTATAATATACATAATTGAAATATACATATTAATATATATTAATAAATATTATAAAACAAAATTGAATAAATATATTAAAATTTATATATAAATAAATGTATTTATATAAATAATAATATTTATTTCAATTGATATAATATATAATATTACATAATTGAAATAAATATATTTATATTAATATAATATATATAATATG